TTTCTTGTCAAATGTCAAAGAACTCCTCCAGTCCAATCTGTATTGTTGTTAAGCGCTGTCAAGTCATAGAAGACTCATAGTGACCCTATGAACGAAAGATTTGAACACGTGTATAACTTTCATCGGGTCTCCACATTCACAGAGTTTCTGGAGTCAGATAGTGTCATTTTTGTGACCCCTGGAAACGCTGTCTCTCTCTCTCTCTCTCATTGGAGTTGAGTTGGCACTTGTTCATAGCTGATCCTCCCGTGGCTTTTCAGAGGCTGTAAATCACACTGGAGGAGATTGCGCGTCTTTCTCCTGTGGAGCCGCTGGAGGACTCAGTGCCTCTTTGTGTTAGCTGTGTGGCTGCCTACAGACTAGGCCACCTTGGAAAATAAGTCCTTGTCTAAATCTTGGGTTACCCTCAAATTCACCTTGAACTAACTAGGGCTCCATAAAAAAGCATGAATACATCTTTGAAAATTCTACATAGGCAAGTAAATGACTTCTAATTCCAACTACCCAGAGTTAAAACCAGTTTCATAAATTAAGGATAAAGTTATCCGGACTGGCAAATCATTTTAAGACTTCAACCACATTTGTAAATTAAGGAACCACCTTCATTTTAAACCAGCTGGCCACCATCCCAGTATTCCCATTGCACTTTTACTTCTGATCAACTAACTAAACACTTGGGCATTCGTTACCACCATTCTTGCTCCCTACAATTAATTTTTGTTTTAGATTTGAGTGAAAATTTGCAGAGCACATGGTTTTCCATTCAACCCTTCATACACATGTTGTTTTATAACACAGATTACAATACTCATACTGTAATCGTACTCTTCCCTCTGCCCCTCGGTGGTTCCCCTTTCCATTAATCCTTCAATCCCACCCCCTTCCCTGGGTCAGTGCTGCCCTTTTGATCTTCTCTGGTTGATTATTCTAAGCAGTGAGGGCCTACCTGATGTTTGTCTGAAAGTTGAGCTACAAGAGTGAGCTTCTCTCCATGTTCAAACAGTGGCTAAAGAACAGTAGTCTCAGGGGTTCCACCAGTCGCTAAAGGAGCTTTTGAGTTTTGTTCCACATCTCCCCAAGTCTGTCCAGGACCTTCTACTGTTGCCACTTTTAGTGGGGTCAGTAATGGCTGCTGAGTACCATCTAGTTCTTCTGGCCTCAAGGTCATGAAAGTCAAGGTTCAAGTGAAGCATTAGTGCTTTGATCTCATTTTCTCTATACCTTGATGCTTTCTTTCCTTCGTTCTTTACTCTGGAAAGGGAGAGACTAATAATTGCACCTCAGATGGCATGCTTTTAAGGCCCCATTGCTGCTCCCCATATTGGGAGGTAAAACATTGTCTTTCTGTGGACTGTGTTATGCCAGCTGACCTTGATGTCCCCCAAGTGATGGTCCCAAAGTCCCAGGGTCACCACTCATTCTCTTAAGAATGTTTGATTATGATTTAGACAATTACATAGTTTTGTTCTTCTGTTGGCTCTGTTATATATGGATATATGAACAGCATATACCACTTTAAATGTAGAAATATAAAAAACAAGATGGCATTTTAGTTCTTATTCTGTTATTTTTAACCAGAACTGCCTCTACACTGGCTATGACAAAGGTACAGAATTTTCTCACCATGGATTAGTACTGACAAAATCATTAGAAAGCCTATATATTCCATGTTAATAACACTTACTGAATTAGAAATCCTAGGTCTCCTAGAAATGTAAACAACAGTCTTTATGATCTGCCATTTTTCCTAGAAAGTGACCTCCTTGTCAGCAAAAGTTTGACTGATAGGTCACGTCTTGATTTGTGTGCAGTGGAGTAAGAACTGATTCACAGCTGACTCTCCAGTGGGTTTTCAGAGGCAGTAAATCAAGCAGGAGCAGATTACCCATCCTTCTCCCACAGAATAATAGTTTGTGAATTTGAACTGCATGCCTTTGGGATTGCAGCACTGCTTCTTACCGCTAGGCCACCAAAATGCCCCTAATAGGTTACTGTTGTTATGCACCATCGAGTCACCTGCGACTCATAGCGATCCTGTGTACCTTCACTCTGAAGCCTGCCCTGAGCCAGTCTCACTGATGACACACCTACCCCCTTTGCCCTAGTTACTGTATCGGTCCATCTCATCTGGGCTTTTCCTCTCCTGTGCTGTTCCTCCACTCTACCAAGCATGATATCCTTCTCCAAGGGATCAGTCCCTCCTGACCACGTGCCCAAAGTATGTGAGACAAAGCTTCAAAATTTTAGCCTCCAAGGAGAAACTTGGTTTCACCCTAACAAAGACTATTTGTTTTCTTGGCATTCCATGGTGTGTTCAAGACTTTTCTCCAGCACCACAACTCAAAGGCATGTCTTCTTCTGTCATCCTTAGTCACAAGGTTCCTAGAATACTGTTCTGGCTTTAAGATATTTGTCCTTTGCCAAAAGCCTTAAGGGGCCCAAAACTAAAGTAGAAACCAGTAAAGAATGTATTGTATTACAGATACAATCCTACTTTTAGCCTTTGAGAGTTTTTGCCTCTCATTATATAATTAATCATAGAGCTAGTTGAGAGGTATTACAAGACCACTTAAATCCATCAAATTGGCAATAAACAGGGAAAAAAAATAAGAGCCCACTTTGCAGAGTTAAGAATTTATGCTATTTTAAGAACCTTTTTAAGAAAAGACCTTTGACAGATAAGGTGTCTGATAACTATAATCATGATTACTTAGGACTAGACTTTTTTTTTTTAATCTGAAAAGTTTGGAAAAAGTAACGGTTACCTTTTTTTCAGAGTCTTTGCAAACTGTATATACTTAGTAAGTGAAACTTGAAATTAAACAAACCAGCAAAGGGTAATAAGCACAATTCCCCAACTAAGATATTACCTTACTTCAAGGTAAACAAAACTCAACATCTTCCTCATCTTGCTAGAACTAATGAAGAAATATTCTCTGTGCTCAAAGTGAAAAGATCTATTTAGAGCACTAAACTTTAGCCTAAACATTTCTTTCCCTAAATGAAACCTGTTGATTTATATGTCAGTGCATATAACTACATTCTATAATCATTTCAAATTCTTCTTTATTAGAACCTGCTGCTAACAATCTTGTACCTTCTTGAAATTTAATGCTTTGAATGTTGTCGATTGCTAAGGAGGGGGCAGTGATCAGTTGCATCTGTTTTTCCCCATTGCACGAGAGTAGCAAATAGAATCGCCTTTTTTTCCAAATTCTACAGAGCATGTGTGTGATGTATCGATTGGTACGGAGATCTGCCTATCCGTATATCACTAATGTCTGTGCCACATCCTTTAGGGAGAGGAAGCAAAAAACATTCCTGGTGAATCTGTCACAGAAGAACAATTCACAGATGAAGAAGGCAACCTCATCACCAGAAAAGTAATAATCACTGTGACTTCATGCTTCTCTGCATTTAAAAAATAAAACCATACAAACAAAAACTGCTGATTGTTTTCTATAGTATTACCTTTTGAAACCTAAAAGACAGACAAATTTCTTTTCTTTTTTTTTTTTGCTGTTGCTTTCTACAGATCACTCGGAAAGTGATAAGACGAATTGTTATCCCACAAGAGAGAAAACACGGTGACGTGGTAATGGTGAGGGATCCGTGGAGGAGAAAGTAGAGGATAACAGCTTTGTGAATTCCTAGTGTGTGCTGCCCTCCGTGGCGGCAGTCCCAATCAAGTGTCTGCTGCTTTGACGTGTTGTGCACTGGATGAGGGTCTAAGGAAGAAGGGTTTTTTTCCTTCTTCTTCTTGACATTCTTTAATGCGATTTCTAAGAATGTCTTCCAAGTTTTATGAGAGATAGGTCATTTTCAGTGGGCAGGGGGGAACAGAATGCCACTTTTAGGGAGAGAGAAAAAATTACTGAAACCCTACACCACCAGCAAATCCCTTGGTAGCACCCGTGCCCCACCCAGTGCTTTGTACTCAGCTGAGTGTCTGCTCCCCACAGTGATAAGCATGCTAGTAGAGCAAACTGCATGGCCTGAAATCATAAGACTGGACATAACTTCAAGAGCCTTGGATCACATTGATCCATTTTCCCTTCAAACATATTCTGCAGGGATCTCTACATTCTCCTAACCTATAAAAAAGTGTTTCTCTGTGTTTCCAGCAGCTTCCCACAGTGAGTTACTAACAATCCATTCCCACTGGGGTGGTTCGAGATCCTGTGTGCCGCTGTGCAGAGTTATCTAAGAAATTCATTCCCATCCCGGGTTCTTTTTCATTGCTCTCCCTTTTCTCAGCATCTTTGTTATTTTTCTATTTTAAAATATAAACTTCATTAGCCTGAGGGAAAAGTGAACTGAAAAGTTTCTACAAGGACTGAATCTGAAGATTGGAAAGGATACAATCTCTTCTGTTATAAAAGAAGTGAACATTTGTACCCTGACAGCTTTGCTCTCCAGAATATGTCTCCAACACTCACTCAGTCAACAAAGGTCTTGAGTTAAACGACTTGAAGGCCTGGGTAAACTGGACGTGAGAGGAGGGCGTTGAAAAGAAAGTACTTCATAGCAGTACCATGTTCCTGATACTCTGTTCTTGATTAGTGCTTGACTGAGACATTTCAGTCTTCTGATAACAGATAAATTCCTCTGACTTTAAAAAAAGTGTAAATTACCATCTTTTTTATTTTTTAAAAATTGAAGTGTAAGCTCAAGAGCTTCGGTGGTGATTTCTTCTGGCTTACTACCACATAGCAAATGGCAGGGTGCTCTTTTTCCCCCCTTTCTTTTCACTAACCTACTGAGAATTTGTGACGTATAGATATACTTGTTCATTTTGACAGGGTTCTCTAGCTTGCATTGATGACGCTAAGCTGTATGTCTAAACTAGTAGGTAGCGTACTTTTTTTTAAAGTAATGTGCCAGTGTGCTTTAAACTGCTTTTCACTTATCCTAATCCAGCCTCCAGAGACAAGGATGGGAACTTCTTTGAAACTAGATTCTTCCTCTCTGAAATTCTAATGCATACATTCCTTTTAAAGCAGGGAGAAGGTTATAAGGTGAAGACGAAGAAAGAAATTCGGCATGTGGAAAAGAAGAGCCATTCATAACAGTGAGAGGTCAGTCAAGGTCTGAGTGTGTTCATAGTGACAATGGTGGGCTTCAATTAAGGGGGGAACATCTCCACTAAACATTATTCATTTCTCCCCTTCATTTGACCGAATTCCAGCTTTGAAAACTCAATATGAGCTTGTTGGAGTTCTTTCTATGTTTATACATACAGGTACTAAAATTTGACTCTAGTTCAGTCTATAAGATTTGTCATGAATTTGATTGTGAATTATTCGCATGTGCTCATATAATTTTTGAACCTCCTCAAAGATCCAAGGCTTATGAATGTAGTTGCCTTCTGCAATCAAATAGAAAGACTATTTGGCAACAAATAATTCTACACATGCTAAGAGGCTGAGCCAGCCTTTCATATTTCAGCAGAAAAGCATCTGAAAATATTATTTCAGTTACAACATAGTAGTTGCCAAGTTTAAATGAAAACACTTAAATTCCCATATACTGTTTTATATATGCCAATGCAAATTAAGTAGGAGAGTAATGCTACTACTTTTTGTAGTTACATATTTCATGAGCTTTGCTTAAATGTGACTGGAATTTCCTTTATAGGTCAGGATATTTTTCTGTAGATTATTTTCTGTATCTTTATCTTCTTTCTATATAGTTAGAGTCAGGCTATTTGGAAGGAGAAAGGAGACATTTTATACCTATGTGTAGAAGATGTTGTTGTTGTTGTTGTTATGTGCCGTCGAGTCGTTTGCGACTCATAGCAACCCTATGTGCAACAGCCCTAAACCCTGCTCTATCCTGTGCCAATCGCATGGCACACCCATCCCGATTACCCTAGTCACTGAATCAATCCACCTCATAGAGGGTCTTCCCCTACTGCGTTGTCGCTCCACCCTACCAAGCATGATGTGTCTCTCCAAGGACCTGTCTCTCCTTACAACATGTCCAAAGTATGTCAGACGAAGCCCCAGAATCCTTGCCTCCAAGGAGTAGCCTGGTTTAACCCTCTCCAGGATGAATATGTTTGTTTTCTTGGCAGTCCGGGTACATTCAACACTTTTCTCCAGCACCACAGCTCAAAGGCATCAATTCTCCTTCTATCTTCCCTAGTCCAACTCTCTGATGCATAACAAGTGATTGCAAAGACCATGGCCTGTATCAAGTGCAACTTAGTCTCCAGAGAGACACCGTTGCTCTTGAGTACTTTAGAGAGGTCCCTAACAGCAGACTTTCCCATCGCAATACGTTTTTTGATTTCCTGGCTGCTGGTGCCAAGAGTGTTGATCGTGGAGCCAAGCAAACTAAAGCTGTGAGCAATCTCAATCTCTTCACCATCCATCCTGATGCTACCAATTGGTCCAGTGGTGAGAATCTTTGTCTTCTTGACATTGAGCCTCAGTCCATACTGAAGGCTGCAGTCCTTGACCCTCTGCAGCAAGTGCATGAGGTCCTCCTCAGTTTCAGCGAGCAGGGTTGTGTCATCTGCATAACGCAGATTGTTAATAGATCTTCCACCAATCCTGATGCCACACTTCTCCTCATAGAGCCCGGCTTCTCAGATAATCTGCTCTGCATACAGGTCGAAAAGGTATGAAGATAGGACACATCCCTGGCATACACGCTTCCCAATTTTGAACCATGCAGTGTCACCTTGCTCTGTTCTAACGACTGCCTCTTGGTCCAAGTATAGGTTTCGCATTAGCACAATTAAAAGTTCTGGGATTCCCATTCTTCCCAGAGTCAGCCACAGTTTGTTATGATCCACACAGTAAAATGCCTTTGCATAATCAATGAAACACAGATAGGCATTCTTCTGGTATTCCCTGCTTTCAACTAAGATCCATCTAACATCAGCTACAATATCCCTAGTACCACGACCCCTTCTAAACCCAGCCTGGACTTCCGGCAGTTCTCTGCTGATGTGCTGTTCCAGTCATTTCTGGTTAATCTGCAGTAGAATCTTGCTTGCATGTGAACTCAATGATATTGTTGGTATAAGATAGTGTAGGATAATTTCTTTAGGGCTGTTCACCAATAATCCTTGGCACCATTGGTCAAAGTAATAACAGATTTCAGTTTTCCTTTTCATAAATCTTTTGTTATTCAATACTAGAATCATGATATTTGGAATGCTGAGTTAAAGAATCGTGAAATCGTCTAGTCTTATGGCCCCAGATTATACATAAGAATTCATGGAGGCCCTGACAGAATCTTAATTCCCCCTATGAAACTTTATCGTTGTTTATTCAGTCAATATTTCTTTCACCTCCTCGCTAAGGCATTCAGCTTGGGCATTGGGAATTCATTTTTAAGCATGGTACTTGCCTTCACTTAGTTTATATTTTGGGGATTTAATGTTAAACAATCACAACTAAATAGCAATATTTAATAGCACTGAGAACTGCTAAGAATGAGAGAGTGTTCTAGATAATCATTTTTACTATGTTCTTTGATTCAGTGACTGGGATAATGGGGGTAGGTGTGTCAGAGACAATAAGACTGGTACAAGATAGAGCAGGGTTTAGGGCTGTTGTACATAGAGTCGCTGTGACTAGCAGGTGATTAGCATATAACAACAATTCTTTCTAGTGTTTTGTTGGGCGTGTCCTTAAATCAACCCTCTTGGTGGTAGTGGTGGTTGTTGTTAGGTGCCGTCAAGTTGAGTACAACTCATACCCTCTTGGGTAGGTATCCTTATTATTCCTACCTAACAGATGAAGAAGGAGGCTTCTACTATTTAAGTAAGTTAGCTCTAGTGGCCTAGTGGTTAGAATCTTGTGCTGTGATCCTAAAGGCAGGTGGTTCGAATCCACCAGCTACTCTGCTCTGCCTCTGAAAACCCACTGGAGAGTCAACTATTTTTCAGTTCCAAGATAATGGCCCACAACAGGTTAAAAAGTAACAGTAGGAAACAAATTCTTACCAGGCAGTCTCCAGAGCCCACAATCTCAGCCATGTTAAACAGAAACTTGACCTGAACCCAAGGTGACCTTTCCTTTAGTAAGTAATGTTTGGACTCACTTTTTAAAATGATGAATAAGAATTCAGCTTAAGGATGGAGAGTGTGAAGTATCCTTTTTGGTACAGGTACAAAGGCTAAGCAATGAGTGAGAACAGGCCAGTGTGGATGGTTGGAGAGTTTTGTTTGGGTGTCTGGAGAGGTAGGGGGAAAAAAAATCAGACTATTTTATTTCATGATCTCTCTAAAGATATAGTTGTCCCCCAAAAGCCATGGGAAACCATTGATGGATCATTCACCACAAGTCCAGGATAGAGGAGCAAGGATGAATGAGCAGAAAATCTTTTATGAGACCATTTGCTTTGGCAGCAAAGATGATGAAAGTTAGCTGAATCAAGGGATATGGGGAGAATTTGTTCCTACAATGTACATCTACTGCCTGTGAACAAAGGACACTTAAAAAAAAAAAAAAGATGTCGCTTTTTTCAGGGATCTTAAGAGTGAAATCAGTCAGTCACAAAGGACAAATATTTAATAAGACTACGGTTCGAAGCTACCAGCTGCTCCCCAGGAGAAAGATGGGCAGTCTCCTCCCGTGTGATTAACTACCTCTGAAAACCCTCCAGAGGGGCAGCTATGGGTCAGTTCCGACTCTATGGTACACAACCACAGAACTGAAGATCATACAAACTATGTCTAGGCAGTTGGCCTTTACCTTTGTGTTGGTGACAGTTTGGTACCACTGATATTTTATGGTAGGAGACAAATGTGATCAAGTGTGACTTAGGCAACCCTGGTATTAGCATAGAGGATTAGGAGAGAGATAAGAGTGTGAGTTCTAGGGTCAGATGGTATAGCTTCCACTCTGGATCCAACACATGCTAACAGTTTAACCTTGAGCTTGTTTGATATCTGTGTGTGCCTCTGCCTCCTAGCTGTAGCATGGAAGTGCCTCATTGTTGTTAGAATGAAATGCAAACTAGCCCATGTAACAAATCTTAAAACAATGCCCAGCACATAATCATTTAAAAATAATCACAGTGTTAGGTATCGTGATTCAGAACAACTCAAAGCTGACCCTCCAGCGGATTTTCAGAGGCAGTAAATCACTTAGGGGGAGACTGCTCATCTTCCCTTATGGAGCAGCTGGTGGATTAAAACCGTGTGCCTTTGGGTTGGCAGCACACAGTTCTTTACCAGTAAGCCACCAGAGTTCCTTTAATAATGGTCACAGCCATATTATCTTTCATTTTGAAAATGTAAGTACTTACCCCTCCCATAAACCTCACTCCAGAAAGCACTGTTGTGATTAGATGTCATTGAGTCAGCTCCAACTCTTAGTGACCTTATATACAGCAGAGTGAAGCCCTGCCTGATTCTACAGCATTTTCACAATCCCTTCTGTGCTCAAGCTCATTGTTGCAGACATTGTGTCAGTCCAACTCATTAAGGGCCTTCCTTCCTGTCTTTTAATGTCCTTCTGTTTTTCCCAAGCATGATGTCTTTCTCCAGAGGCCAGCCTCTCCTTGTGACAATTCCAAAATAAATATGACAAAGTCTCACCATCCTTGTTTTTAAGGAATACTCTGGCGATACTTTTTCAACAATAGATGTGTTTGTTCTTTTGATAACTCAGTGATATATTGTATTTTCTTGGCCAACACCCCTATTCAAAAGCATCAGTTTATTGACTGACTGGAGAACAAGTCTTCCTGAATTATTTTAAAACTGCATAGCAGTTTACTAAAATTATAAAAAGTAATTAGAGCTAACACTTAATGGGGAAATTGCTCTTACTTTTAGGACTTTTGTAATTAGAAAGAGAGTGAAAGATAAAGATGGAAGGGAATAAAGAAAGAATGTGTGTTGTCCAAAGTGAGGTTATAGAAAAGGTTACATCAGGAAAGGCTTTACTTAAGCCATGGTGGCTTTAAGTCTTTAAACAAGCAAACGTGGACCTCATTATGGAGATGATTGTGCTAACAGGAGATGCCATTAGAAACATCTTTGAAAAGCACAGGAGATTTAAACCAAAGAAGATAAGTGTAGAAAGTTGGGAAATTATGCATAGTT